ATGTGTATGTGTTCAAACACATGGCATGGTAATAACTTTACATAAAATAATATTATAATAATATATTATATATATTATAAAATAGAAAAATTATACCTTGTCGAAACGTTGTACATTTGCTCTTATGTTAAACTTATATTAAAGTTTTTCTTCATTACCCATTCAAGCCGTCTCCAGCCATTATTATATACAAAATGAATATAATATAGCTAGGAAAGACCAGCAGAAACAACCAACCAGTTTTGTAAAAACATGTTGCAATACGCCACAAAATATTTTCTGTCCAGCATTTAGAAATATGTCTACAAAATACAAGTAAATTTGAATAAATCTGCAACAGAAGTCCCGCCCACCAAACGTCAATCATTCTAATGAAATCAATTTAATCGAATTTTAAGATTCATATTTAAATTTTCCAAATAAATTGGCGATAAACTTGTTTCACTTCGCTACTTCTCCAACGTTACTCGGTGGGTCGGCATTAAGTTTACGGACTTACAACTCTAAAATCTGGGGTTCGAATCCCTTCGGTGTACATAGCGCAGAAAGTTCATTGCGTAGCTTCGCACTGAAACAAACAAAAGTTACAAAAACCAAGAATTTTCTCCAACAACAACGCCACTGTAATTCTCGTACAGTCTCGCAGTTTACGTTAACAGTTCACGCATGCTCAAACAAACTGGAAAGTAGAATAGAGTAATAACTTTATTACAGTTTATAGCTTTGACAGTAAGATTTGTTTTTGAGTAGATACGACGTTTCGATCACTGGTGCGATAATTCCCAAGTACACAAGTTTTAACGGCAAAGAACGTTTTAGTATTTAAATCAACATTCAACAATCGAACAACATATTTAAATTACAGAATTGATAGCGTTAGTTATACATGTACAAATTAATCCACGTGAATTGACAGATTACTTATTTATGGCTAAACAGAAGAAGAAAAAAACAACCAAAAATTAATAAATATATAAAAAAAACAATGGAATAATTGATGTGAAATATTTATATAAGGTTAGGAATGTGTGATGAAATAACGATCAAAGACACAGAGAGATGTTTCTGAGTATTTGTTAACTGTGGGGTTGTTTGATTTTTATTAATAAAGCTTCTCTGATTTTTCTTCTGTTAATATCAGGCCCATGTTTTAATACTGGGAAATCCTGTTCAGAAAAACTGTGTTCGTTTTTATACATCTGTTCGTGGACTTTTTGGTGTTCTTTTAACCTGATCCTCAAGTTATATCAATAAATACCGCCAAAGAATAGCATCAAAATCATACAATTTGGCGCCAGAGAAAGGTTTCTCCTACTACATCTCGAAGGATTCTTACGTTACTACTTTGTATTAGAAGTGCTTCTGTTATTATTTACGTAGAGCTCCATTTATTTCTCAGCCATGGTAACAACAAACTTATGCACGAGAAAAATTAAAATACCTCAAATATCTTCTTCATTTCCGTATGATAACTTGGCAGATGCACAATCTACGTTCAAGTAAGTCTATTTAAACGTTCTTTTTTCCTCGACCACCCAAGTATGTAAGAAGATATATATCTAATTAGGCCCGTTTACACTTTCAAAGGTAGTCATCCGTTACTCGAGTAAAGTGGTTACAAGTTTTACTTTAGTAGATCTACACGCTTGAGGTGCACCAACCTTGACCAAGGTTGGAGCGATCAGGATGTTTTTCCTGCCCAGACTGGAACAGCTAGAGACATAACACAGGCGTGGAGAACATCCTGGACAGTGCAGAGAACGGGAAGTGTCGTTCAGACATCAGGAGAAGTTTGATTATTTTTAATGGGTAAGTCAAGTGAACTATGAGAGCGGGGAAAGAAGAAAAACGAAGAAAAAAGTGAGTTACTGAAACCATGGAATATTTATCGTTATTTCGGAATCGTTACTGTCTGCTGCTACTGCAGATTTTGTGACGTCTGTCCATAATGGTAATGACAATACCTAATACTATTGTACAGAAGCTTTAGTGTGTATTGTTACTGCAGATTTTGTGACGTCTGTCCATAATGGTAATGACAATACCTAATACTATTGTACAGAAGCTTTAGTGTCTATTGTTACTGCAGATTTTGTGACGTCTGTCCATAATGGTATTAACAATACCTAACACTGTTGTACAGAAGCTTTAGTGTGTATTGTTACTGCAGATTTTGTGACGTCTGTCCATAATGGTAATGACAATACCTAATACTATTGTACAGAAGCTTTAGTGTCTATTGTTACTGCAGATTTTGTGACGTCTGTCCATAATGGTATTAACAATATTTGTTATTATCGTACGATACTTATAATATGGTATCGACATGGTCTCGTGATACCACGAAATAACATTGGGGAATAACTAGACGTCATATAGTGATATCCCGATACAAAACTCTTTTTATTT